AACAAGGATTAATGCTAATTGCCATATAACCACCCCACAATTAAATCAGAATGAATACTCAGCAAAGATTGGGCATAGTGTAACCTCTGTAAAAGCTCTGTGAAAGCAAATCAGGATGAATGCTCAATAAACAGGTCTGGCAAATTTATTCATCTGGCGAAGCCCCTAGTAAGCATCACCCTGCTCATGGTGAACAGGTTGTACTCTCGCAAGTACAACTGAGCAAGTTATGTGTGTGTCGGTTTGTGTGTGTATATGACAGGCACTCATTTCGTCATTTTCATCAGATATACAGTGCCCAACAATCCAGTATCTTTCAACAAATATTAAGCACACATACAGAAGCACTTTCTAAATGACTATGGGTCACCTTTCCTCAAAGTCAAAACGAGAAGATGTCTTGTAAGCATATATTTTATTACGCTAGTCAAGAAAGACATTGTCACTGAAAACCAATCTTGCTTTGTATTTTCAGCCCTGGAAAAGGGATCAGAAGACCCTGAGCAACAAATTCAGCAGCATGTTCAACATTAGCACTGACATTTCACAACTCTTGCCTTTAAGCATCGAGAAGAGACTTTCTGTTTTCCAAGATATATCTGACAAATCGAGGAAAGGAAGGAAGGTTGGGTGGCAGAAGGATGCTGCAAAATTAATGTCTGCTGGCATATTTTGCTTCATGCAAACAGCTGACTGGAGAGTACCTAAGCATATCTGCAGTTAGAATGAACCATAGCTTGGACCTACACAGCAAATGTCTAAACATAACAAAATATAGTAGTCAATAGATTTAACTGAATTAACCACACATATTTCAGCTTTAGTGTGGAAGCACAGCTCAAGGTTTCACCACAATTGTGCACTTTCCCCTTAAAACACCAAATTTACACCATTTATCCATAGTGATGGTTGTCAGATATTGGGGAATTTGGTGTTGTTGATGTGAGTTTGTGCACAGCTTGCCAGTCATCTCCTTAATTTAAGAAAGGTCAACCACAACCTATAATAGTACAGTATTGTTTCTAATGGAATTGGTACGAAGAGTTCTTTCTAACGTATGAGCTTTCCAAACAACTCTTGCAGCTTTTGCAGAACCCAAAACAGCTAAGCAATGAGGTAAAGGGGGGAAATGGAGTGGAACTGATGAACAATTCCAGTTCAAAGTATTATCCAATACTGTCATACAATTAAACAGTAACAATATCCTACTGGTTTCTACAGGGAATGCCTACAGAACATTCGGAGGACCTACGGAGAGCAGAATTTAAGATCTTGTTTTTGTACACTTGTGTGACTAGTTTTGAATAATAATGTGACTAATATGGAGATAATTACTATTTGCAACTCTATTTTGTTTGGAGATCGACACAAAGGTTTCCTTAATGCAAAAGGTTTGACCTGATGTTCTCTGTGGTTTCAGAAAAGAAGATCCATTTGTGAACAGAAAAATACTCAGTTTATTCATTCAAAGTATTTCAACCTGCCCTTTTCAAAATCAGAGCAGTTTCCAACATTTGAATTAGTGCAGGTTATAGAACACCCAGATTAAAATCAAGTTTTAACTAAAGGAAAATGTGTTTAGCTGTTTTCTAAAACCAAATGAAGAAGAACCTTGGCAAGATTCCCTGCAGAGGAAGTTCAAAAAAACAGGGTGGAAACATTGCAAATACCTCTGACTATAATCCTCTGAATGCTAGGTTACATCCAACAAACTTATACTCAGAGCAGACTCACTGAAATTAATGGACCCAAGTTAGTCATGCCCATTAATTTAAATGGGTCCCATGTTGCACAGTGGGGCTTATTTCTAAATGAACTATCACCCTTTATCCACACTATTGTTGCCAATGCCCATCCCCAAAGGCAAGGCCTTTGTGGGCTCAAGGGCTCGTTTGTTGACGCTGGGTGTCCATGCTTCTCTTGGGCCATTCAGAATTCGCATCAGCTGCATCACCAGTCCAAGTCAGTTGCGGTAAAAAGAAAATCCTGTTTTGCTTTCTTGTCCCCTCTGCACTTCACTGCTCTTTCTGCATATCTGAGTACACAGAGCAGGTGAAATAATTAACAAAACTACATATCATGTAATTTTACTGAAGTTTAACCTTAAATGGTATTGGCTAAATAAATCAAGAAACACATTTATTTTGCCTTTCCCTTCTTGTGTCCTCTGCTTAATGTGAATTAACTCTGTAGAGAAAAGCTTCACTGAAATACGGAAAAATGGAATAAGTCAATTATGCAAGCACATCTAATCAGTGTCCTAAGTGAGCCACTGGTAAGCTTGGTGGATTTATTCATGTGCAAGAAAAGTTAAGGTTTGAGCCCATAAGGAACTAATCTTTATGAGCTAAATTTAACCACCTGATCAATATCTGAATGGCTTGATAGAGCAATGTATTCACAGAGGACTTACAACTCGTTTTTAAATAAACACACCAGTGCATTAAGTCAAATATTGTCCTTCCCCCTACCAGAATCACTCATATAAACTCTATATTATAGCCTTGAACGGATTCTCTCCATCTATTTATTGTACTTACATCAAAACAATTCCAGCACATCAGATATTTGCATTTCTTCTGTCATTTTATAGTTCCATATCTGAATAAGCAGATGACTATCCATTCCTAGTATGATCCCTCCCTCCACAGATTCTGTATGCTTATACTGTATATAAATATGTATCACAGCCACCCCCTATCCTCCAATATAAAGGACAGAGAGTTCTATTATGCTTGTGTCCTGCTGGTGGACTTCCCATAGGCATCTCGTTGACCACAGTGAGAACAAAATGCTGGAACACAAAATCCAGAAAGGATTTTCTTATCTTCCTGGGTTCAGAATTGCCATAATTCAGTGGGCTGTATCTGCCTAGGCTTCCTCTATACTGGTGTATATTTGATGGGCATATCTGAGGGAGCAGAGGATCTCTTCACTCTGACATCTGAACAGTCTGCTGCTCTCACCTGTTCTGTGCGGCGCTGGTGATGGATGAAGGGCATCAATGCAAATGATGCAATGATGCAAAACGCCCACTCCCATGTCCTTGGAATATGATATTGTTTCTATCGTTATCTTTTTGGATAAGGATGACAAGAAGCATACTTATTCGTCAATGCTTCTGTACTCAAAACTGCTGTGAAAATAATACACATCATTTTGGGCCAGGAAACCAACATGCTTACAGTGAATACTTTGCATAACATACAGTTACGGCTGGGGGAGAAATATGGATCTATGGGCCAAAAGAAATCAGAATCTAACTAATTTGAGCTGGAGCCCAACATATGAAGTGCCCCACATTGGATATCCCTGGACTACATCAATATTGCACTGGTCCAGAAATGCAGTGCTTGTGTTTTTATCTATTTCAAGCCCTATCACTTAATGCTCCATTGTTATTTGCCCTTCATGCTATTTGATGATACTGCCTTTGATATGCAGCCTACTGTTTTGATTGCTAAGTACATATTTCAGGAGAAAGCAACACTCCTATTTCTGTTTCCATCAGGCCACAGCTTGTCATAGGGGTTAGTGGCTGAGGTGCAATTTTGTATTTTGAAGTGTTACTTATATTGGGTAAGCCATATTTATTCTGAGAACAAAACAGCAATAAGATACTGTCAAGATTGCTTGTGAAAAGATTTGTGGTTTCAAGATTACAGGAAACTGCTGAGGATCAGGATGGAAGTCTAGACAGAAATCTGGGGGAGTGACACTCCGTGTCAGATCTCACACCAAATTGTTTGACCTCTCCATTTCCTCAAGCTTAACAAGCTTATATAAACACAGATGCAGTACACACAAATCAGAGCATTCGGTGAACCCCAACTGCTCAATTTAAGTGAATGTGTTAAAAGGGGGAGAGATTGCAACTGCTGCTCATATACAGTGTTTTTTATTTTTATTTTTAAATAAATGTTTTAATTGTATCTACACATAGAAAACCTATAAAATATCGACAATACCGAAGCAAATGTACAAATATACTTGTGGTCTCTTCAATTTATACATATTGATTTATCACAATCACCTTGATACTTTTGTAATATATTAAATAAATGTTATACATCTGTGAACACATGTGCTCTAACCTGTGAACCACCATTCTCAACTGGTAGGCTGAAACCTACAAAGGATTATAATATGTTTTGGCTCGCATGGCAACTAAAATAAAATACAGTTTGTGGCAAACTGCAACCCGTGGGACTGCTTCAGCTAACCCGACAGAAACCTACATCCGAACTGAACAAACTTTGTGGGTTCAGTATAATCAGGCAGCAGCCATGGGAATCTCCATGCGCCACACAATGTTTCAGGCAAGTTGTCATTATTCCTCAAAGAACTCCCTTATCTGGTTAAGGATAAAGCAGAAGAACTTTTTCCCCTGCTGCTCCCAACTGCAGGACTAGATCTTCTGAGTTACAGGGGGATAAATTTTGATTCACTTCTTGACGGTAAGAGCAGTTCAACAATAGAATCAATTATCAAGAGGAGTGGTGGTCTCTCCTTCCTGGGAGGTCATCAGGCAGAGGCTGGGTAGCCATCTGTTAAAGATGCTCAGGCTCTGCTTTCCCTTCATCAAGCAGGTGGCAAGTGGTGAAGTGCACCTGTCTATCTCATCACGGGCTTCCAGGTGGGATTTAAAAGCATTCCAATTCACCCAGGCATCTGATGGTTGAAAGATTCTGTTCCTAGCAACCTTGAAATAATTAGTTGTGAGGGCATGTAGCTTTTTAAAATGTTTGTTAATGTCCTTTATTGTTTTTATATGCTGTACAATAGGTTTTATTTTGAACTTTGGTGTTTGTTCTGCTTCGTTGCTAGCTGCCCTCAGCTCCTTTAGGAAGATGGGTGGGATAGAAATTCAATAAATAACAACAACAACAAATGCATGGTCCCCTGAAAATGGGCAATTCAATCAAACCACAAGAAATGCTCTAAAACTGAGGTCCAAACAGTGCATTTCTATATCACAGAGTCAACTTTTCAACTGTGTCATGCATCTTGAAATCGCTTTACCAGATTCCAAAATGGCACACACACACACACACACACACACACACACACACCGGCTTTCTTGAAGTGAAAAACCTATGGATGTGCTTCAGTAAAAAAAAAACTGCACTCAAAAAACCAGAAACATCCCATGGGCATCAGCATTTGCACAACACAGGCCTTCCTCGCCACATCTGCATTTCATTCTGATCAGCAGCCTGGTGATATAAAATAGTGCTCATTTGTTTAAATATGTTTCTGCGCTTTTCTTCATGTAAAAGCCTATGAGATTTGATAACTTTTATGTTAGCAGAGATAAAAGCCAAGAGCCACAAAGAGCCTTTAAAAAGTACTCCACATTTAAAAAACTGCACAAGAAGTAGACAAATCAAAGAGTCTTCACTCAACATCAGAAATACATGAATCTCAATGTCAGGTGAGCCTTCTGCACTGCAGAATGAGACATCACAATGGAAAGGACAGCAATCACCTGACCTGAGTAGGTAGAGCAGCTCAAAGGAGAAGCAACAGAGGCGCTAACTCCTGGGGACCCAACCCTTTGAACTCCCCAAATGTTGGGGGGAAATCAGAGCCAAGTGCAGAGCCAAGCACAGTGTGACTTTAGTGGCCGGCTCCTTCTCCTCCTCTACCTGCCGCGGAAGGGAAGGAGGGGGAAAACAGCCCTCGGCCGATGGTGGCAGCAACAGCAGGAGGAGCCACTGGCCACTGAATCTGTGCTACAGTTGCATTTGGCTCCACCCCCTGGCTCCTCTGACATCCTGAAGCGATGTCAGAACATTGCACATGCAACACTGCACATGCAACGTTGCCCCTCCCCATCTTCCTCACAAGTTGGCACCTCTGCTGAGGAGCACCTCAGTAGCTAGACAGGTTTGTGTGGGAGAAGGCAGTCTTGTAGGCAACCCAGCCCCATCCTATGAATTGGGGCTGGAAATGGATCGAGAGTTGGGGGTGGTGAGCCATCAGCTGGATAGGCCAGGTGGTTAGAGTGTGGTGCTGAAAACAGCAAGGTAGAAGGTTTGATCACCATCAGGGACAGCTGCATATTTCTGCACTACAGAGGGTTGGACTAGATCAGTGGTTCTTAACCTTGGGTCCCCAGATGTTTTTGGCCTACAACTCCCATGATCCCTAGCTCACAGGAGATCCTCAAGATCCCTTCCAACTCTATGACTCTATGATTCAAGATGCCCTGAAGACATGCTTTATTTGGGAGCTGTCCAGTCCAAGATCAGGAAAACTGAGCAGGCACAAAACACCTTGTGCCTTCCCCACTACAGTGAGATATATCTTATTTAAATTTCAATTATAGTAATTGCTTTAAAATTTGAATTTATATATAAATTACCATATGCACACTTTATGCAAATTCAGGCCCTCTTTTGCCCTCTTTTGTGGCGATGCATAACTGGTCCCCTTACGGTCATAGCTGGCACACCAATCTTAGATAGCAGGTTCTTGAAAATAAAGGATCCAATAGCACCTCCAGGATTTCCTTTTATTTCACAAGATTTGTATACTGCTTGATTGCACTAAAACCCCAACACAATTTGAAATTATCAGGGGGAAAAAAACAACTATCCAAAATATCCAAAAACAGTTAATAATAAACTAAAACCAGATTAAAACATGTGGCAACATTCTAAATGTTTGGACTATGAAACTGAACCTTCTGGGCGAGTGCAACTGCATCCAAAAACAGGCCAAACTCTATTACTCAAGGCACATGAACCATGGAGGAAGATCATCTTCATCCTATCTGAATGGTGGATGCTCAATCTACTGGGTCTCAGCCAGTCCCAAAGAAAAATATGTGGCTCCACAAACTAAGAAACACTTAGATATTTCAGTAATCGTTGTTGTCGTGGTTGTGGTTGTTGTTGTTGTGGTGTTGGTGTTGGTGGTTGTTGTTAAATTAACTGAGGTATTCCAAATGATTATCAGCAGAAAACCTGGAGGTAATTTGTCCTGATTCAGTAAATTAGGAGAAGTTCAAAATAAAATTGCCATCGTTCAATGACAAAGCATCTGCTTTGCATGCAAAAAGGCCCCAGATTCAATCCCCGGTATCTCTAAGTAGTAATGGAAAATATTGTTGCCAAAAATATTCAAGACTGCTAACAATATCTCAGTGAAAATTCAATAAAACAAAAATACCAACCTTAACGATACAAGCCAAAATCAAGTCCTATCTGGCAGAGCGCCATGGCTCAGTCCCCAGTTATCTCTAAGCAGCACTGGGGGAGAAACTCGTCTGAAACTGTGGAAAGGCACTGCCAGCCAGAGTAGACGTAACTGAGGTGGATGGACCAAAATTCTGACGTGGTATATGGCAGCGTCTTACGTTTCCTGTGTGAAAGGTCAGCCAGTGCCATTTAGCATTTCAGGTGGCATTTAAAATGTGTCCTTTTCCCTTTTAAATTGTCAGACTTTACAAGAACATGAGGATTTCTCATGCACCCCCAGAGTTCTTACCCATATGGGATTTTAACTGAGGGACTAATTATGTGTATTTTTTTCTGAGCAGATTCATCAGCTGCACATTGCCAAATAATAATGTGTGTTCCATAATGGTAAACTAGACATATAGGCCAAAAAAATGTATTTCAGATACATTATATACACCGTGTTCAGGCAGAGCTATGCTGCTGATTAACAATCGCTGGAGCCAACACAAAAACACCAAAAACAACACAATCCACAGGGAGTAAAACTTCGGCAGAACTTTGCAACTGCACCTTTATCTGTACATTAATTCTCAAGAACTTTTTGTTGGGTGCATGTGCAGCATCTATTCAGCTGCTAACATAAAAATAAATAAATCCAGAACTCTTGGCAGAATCAGAAAGCAGGAGAACCAAAGGGACACTGGGATATCAGAACAATAATAGATATGTGGATAAGTAACAGAAATCTGTTGTCTTTGTCCATGGAGTTTTCTTGGCAGGGATACTGGAGTGGCTTGCCTGCTTCTTGGGAGAAAAGCAATGACAAACCTAGACAGCATCTTAAAAAGCAGAGACATCACCTTGCCAACAAAGGTCCGTATAGTTAAAGCTATGGTTTTCCCAGTAGTGATGTATGGAAGTGAGAGCTGGACCATAAAGAAGGCTGATCGCCAAAGAAGTGATGCTTTTGAATTATGGTGCTGGAGGAGACTCTTGAGAGTCCCATGGACTGCAAGAAGATCAAACCTATCCATTCTTAAGGAAATCAGCCCTGAGTGCTCACTGGAAGGACAGATCCTGAAGCTGAGACTCCAATACTTTGGCCACCTCATGAGAACAGAAGACTCCTTGGAAAAGATGTTGGGAAAGATGGAGGGCACAAGGAGAAGGGGATGACAGAGGACGAGATGGCTGGATAGTGTTCTCGAAGCTACCAGCATGAGTTTTACCAAACTGTGGGAGGCAGTGGAAGACAGGAGTGCCTGGTGTGCTCTGGTCCATGGGGTCACGAAGAGTCGGACACGACTAAACAACTAAACAACAACAACAACAGAAATCTAACAACAAGAATAAACAGACAAACAAATCACTGTGATTTGTTTGTTTGTTGGATGGGGAACAAAATGTAAACCTCTTTGTTTTCATTTTTATTGCTAAAATACAGGGTATGTGTGACATTTGGTTATTACTAGGGCTTCTTTTTTCAGCCAGAACTCACCGAAACTCAGTTCCGGCATCTTTCAGGTGAGCACCATTGCCATTCTAAGAGAACAAGGGAAGTGTTCATGGTGAGTTCAGCCATAAACAGACAGTAGAGTAAACAGATGCCTTGTGTTAATATTTTCTCAAACTGAAAGTATACATCAATTAAATAATAAAAAGATCTCATCAGAGGAGGGGAAATATACAAAAGGAGCATTGGCCTCAAGAAAATGATGGAGAATATTACCTATTACTGATTTTCCCTCATATCAAAACCCCCACATGATTTCAAGAATCATAGAATTGTATAGTTGGAAGGAACCACAAGGGTCATCTAGTCTAACCCACCCTGCATATCAGGCATATTTTGCCCAAAGTGTGACTTGAACCCATGACCCTGAGATTAAGAGTCTTGTTTATGAGAATGAAAGTTATATCTATCAACAGACGGATCAAGCGGTACCCATTTATGTATTCCTTAATTCATCATTGTTTGTTATGCTATAGTACATTTAGTCCTTCATAATGTTAATATATAAGAGCATCCTTGTGCAAATTTGTAAAATCAGTACTTATAAGTCCTGCCAAATTATCCACAGCATCTTCGTTTACATGTCTTTTGCTCTCATTCCTTTTGACAACCACTTGCTTGATTGAGCGGCTAACATAGGCTGGCATTACCTATGCCAGTTCAGATTTATATTCAATATGCTGAAGGCTACAGCTGCATCCTTTTGCTAATGAATAATCTGAGGGAAAAGGTTTCAAGGAAAAGGCTCTTTTTAATACCTTGGAATTCCTGAATACCCCTGTCAACAGCTTGATATTAAATGAAAAGGCGGTGGAGGCAGAGAAGGAAAATAAACCACATATGTAAGTGTTGTATGGAAAAGTTAACTTCTCTATTGAGTCGTATCACCAAAGTAAACAGAGTAGATCCACTGAAATCAATGACATCAAATTATTATTATTTTATTACAGCAACTTCAGGTATGACTTAGGCTCCATCTGCACTATGCATTTAGAGCAGTACCATACCACTTAATAAACAGTCATGGCTTCCCCCTTAAAAGTACCGGGAACTGTAGTTTATTAAGGATGCTGTGAGTTAGGAAACCCTTATTCTCTTCCAAGACCTACAATTCCCAGAGTAGTTTAACAATCAATCCCTTTTCTCAGGGAACCCTGACAACTGCAGCTCTCTGAGGAGAAAAGGAATCTCCTAATTCTCAGCACACTTAACAAACTAGAGTTCCCAAGATTCTTTGTGGGAAGCCATGACTCTCGAAAATAGTATGATATTACTTTAAATACATAGTGCAGATGGGGCCTTAGTTGGATATCACCTCTTGCGTCTGTATTGGTCAAAAGCATGAATTAACCTCGAATCATTTATTTATAGCACCTATAAATTCCCTTCCTCTCCCATAAGATCAAAGTTATGTATTAAAAAAGAAGACATTAAAACCATGCAAGGTATAGGGAAAAAGGCACCATGG